GTAGCTCCGTCAAGGTAGGATCGAGTCTCTCTGAACCTTTTGATACCGTGCGAGGCTTCAGACAAGGTGATCCCTTATCATGTGACCTCTTCAATTTCGTCATGGAAGTGATCATGCGCAGGGCAGGTGTTCATCGTAATGGAACAATATTCTACAAATGTGTCCAGCGTAGCAAGCGTGATGTTACAGCTGCTTTTGCTGCTATCGAAAAGGAATCTGCAAGAATGGGTTTATCGGTGAATGAGGTAAAAACGAAGTATATGTCGGCTACTGGTAGAAATGTGCGTCGCTCGGACGCCGCGCTAGTGGCTGGCGACTATACTTTCGAATCTGTCAAGGATTTCATCTACCTTGGCGCCGCCGTAACGAATACAAATGATGTCAGTCTGGAGATCAGACGAAGAATCACCATTGCTAATAGGTGTTAGTAGGCAATTGGGATGTAGAGCCCTCTCTCGACAAACGAACCTTACGCTCTATAGGTCGCTCATCCTCCCTGTGCTTCTGTATGGCGCAGAAGCATGGACGTTATCACAGAATGATGAAGCAGCACTGGGAGTGTTCGGGAGAAGAGTTCTTCGTAAGATCTTTGGTCCTCTACGAGTTGGCGACGTCTACCGCATTAGAATGAACCACGAGCTGTACGAGCTTTATCACGACATTGATGTAATTCAGCGCATTAACATCCAGCGGCTTCGCTGGCTTGGTCATGTCGTGAGAATGGATGAAGACGCTCCGGCGAAAAAGGTGTTTGAAGCAGTAGTTGGCGGAAGAAGGCGTAGAGGTAGACCGTGTCTCCGGTAGAGTGATCAAGTTGAGGGAGCACTAACTGGACTTGATATACGAGACTGGAGAAGGCGCGCACGCAGCAGAGGCGCCTGGGGAGACATGCTGCGTCAGGCCGAAACTCGGCAACGGGTTGTTATGGCCACATAAGTAAGTAAGTAAGTAAGTTTGTTTCCTTCGTCGGTGGCTTGTTTATGCTTGGTTATAGAAAATATATTTTAGTAACGCAGTGATTTTGTGTTTTTCTTTTGTGTAATATAAAAATAAAATAAAATAAACCGAAAAAAATCAGAAGTATTGCTTGTGATATGTTTTTGTTTATTGTAAAAAAAAAACGTAACCAGTGAGTGTTTTAGTTGTTGGTTGATTCTATATATTTGTTGTGTTTTTTTTCTATTATACATGTTTATTAAATAATTGTGTAAAAGATCTATGTTTATTAAATAAATGTGTTGTTTAATAAATGTTCAATGTATGTTTTAATTATAAAATTCAAAATTCATTCATAAAATTCACTTTTTAAGCATTGCTTTTTTTCCCTTTAGGTTTGTGTAGTTCGTGTAACGATGCCCGCGGCTCGTTGGAACCGAGGATCGCAGGTAATGTCCGTACGATTTGTGGCTAAATCTATTTTAATAGATTTTATATTTTACAGATAATTCCGACGCTGTTTATTTCGGGTGAGTGTTTCATTGTGACGTGTGTGGGTGTAGTGATGTAGTGTTTTGTACTGACAGTCAGACATTGTTTTTCTCTTGTTCTTGTAACATGTGCAGTAGAAATTTGATACACAAATTTGTATCGTCACAGCGTGTAGTCGAACCGTAAGAGCCTGTATTCATTGTTTTCGTTATAAACCAAGACTTCTTACTCAAATAATGGGAAATTTACTATCAGATCGAGTAACTGCATCACGACCATTTCTAATACACGGTTTCGATTTTTGTGGATCCGTAAATACTACCTAGAAAATTCGTGGAAGGCCACTAGTAAAAATGTATCTTGTTGTGTTTGATTCACGTCAAAAGCAGTGCATTTAGAATTAGTTTCAAATTTAACAACTGATTGTTTTATCCCTTGTCTTAAAAGGTTATTCGGTAAATGCAGACTCTTAGAGAAGATATATTGCGACAATGCAACGAATTTCGTGGAAGCAGATCGAAAAAATCGAGAGCTGGCAGGCGCGTTCAACATCCAGACGGACGAAATGGTGTCATACGCTGCGCTAAACGGAACAGATATTGTCTTCCTATCACCTAGAGCTCCACACTTCGGCGATCTGTGGGAAGCTGCCGTTAAATTCGCGAATCCCCTTCTGTACCGCACTACCAACAGTGTCCTGCTCACTCACGAAGAACTGCATATGTACTGTGCTTTTAGAGAGCGAAGGCTCTAACTCCAGCACACCTACTAATAGGGAGTTCTCTACGCACGCTGCCGCAAGGATCCGCACTCGAAGTATCAGACAACGAGATGAACTCTTTGACGAGATGGCGACTCTTGTGCGAACTCAAACGAAGGTTCCGGCAGTGCTGGTCGAAATACTACATACTGAGTATACTGTCCAAAACCAAATGGTTGATCGACCAACCGAACCTCGCGGTAGGCCGACTAGTCGACGTCCACAAAGACAATCTTCCCCTTCACCAATTGAATAAAGCAAAAATTTCACATGAATTTTAATTTAATTTTTTTTAAATAATAAATAAATAATTTTAATAATAAATAATAATTCAATTTTAAATAATAAAACAAAACTCAACTAAACAATCACCTCTTTCATTTCTTTCACCTAACCCGAAGTTACCAGCAATCAACCATCCCCTCATCTGCACCATTGTTATGCCATCAGAGAAATATTCAACATTTATGACGTCCTATATGCATTCTTTCGAACACTTTTTCTGTGAATTTTACTACGATCACCGCTATAATATACATCATAATTTTCTATGGTACAACAACCACTTTTTCGCCATCGCATTTCACTTATCCTTAGAATGTTAACTTTATATCTTTGCATTTTAGGTATTGAGCATGCTGCTAATATCCCAGGTACTAAGTCTATATGATTTATTACTGTTGAATGTTATCTGAGCTAAACGGGAGATTCTTAGCACCCCTATCCAATCTAACCAAATGCTTGACTTCGACCATATTATTATTCTTTGCTGGGGTATCCTCAGAGTCTTTCCAGGAGTCGTTGACTTAAAACCGCCTTTATACTTGTAAATAATTATGTACATATTTTTTATATATTATACACTTGAGCTTAAAACCGCCATTTTGTCAGACAATATTTAATACTTATTTATTTATCTTTTGATTACTTCACCTGTTGCAGTTGCGTGCGTGCTAGGGTGAGTTTTAGTAAGTTGTTTATCATTTAATATTAAACAACTAATATTAAAAATTATACTGATAGAAGTGCTGTATTATTGGGTTTATGTAGGTTAGAAGTTGATACTAACTTCCATCCTTACAAGCATTATCTAATCCTTCTCGTCGCAACAACAAGGCGATAACGAGATCGACTTCCCTGATTCCAAGCATTGCGCTCAGTAATTTTGCCGCTTTATCGTACTCAATGCTTCTGCCTCCCCGGACAGAAGTGCAGTTTCCGGAAGCTACATTTCAACTACACCACGCTGTTCTCTTGCGATGTTGTGCTTAATGTAATCAGACAATCCAAAGCCACGAAAGCTCTTGAGCTTAATGACATGTCGATGCTTATGATCAAGAATTTTGGGATCATTGGCCTTTCAGCTATGACATATCCTGAACACTTCCATCAGTTCCTACATCATCCCTAACATATGCAAGACTGGTAGGATGATCCCTCTGTTGAAACCGGACAGACAGACTGGGTTAAGTGAATCACATATGCCGATATCTGTTATTTTTGGATTTTTCGCTTTTGAAAATGGAATAAAAGACTGTGTCTATGTGTTTTTTTTCTGTGTACTTTTTTTTAATATTGAGAAACATTTTAACATAAATAAAATTTTTAAAAAAATTGATGTCTGCATCAAATAAGCTGTGAACCGTTGTATTATTATTAAATGAATTGTACCGATAAAAGAATTAGGAAGAGCTTAAAATTGAATCACATTATATAAAAAACTACAAGACTCTTCTTTTTAATAAAAATATTTGATTATTTATCTCTTGAAAATGATTATTATTTTAATTATTTTCAAAGTATACAATTTCCTTATAATTATTGCTTACAATATATCCATGCAATACATGTGGAATAGATAAAAAAGTTCATATTTGATATGGCCTATTTAACATAACAGTTCGTACTTTAGTTTACAAACGAATCATTTAATATTTTGCATACGTGTCTTATATAAGCATTCGCGAATAGAAAATACTTTGTTATCCAAAAAATAATAAAAGTAAGAAAGGTAAAAGTAAAGCAAAACATTATTCATTATAGTAAACTTCGAGTTAAATTAGGTTTAAGAAGTGTACCAAAATGCAAAATTTTGAATTTATATTTCTTATTTAACAAAAAAAAAGGTCAAATTTAATCAATATTTGCAAATAGACTAAAAAAAAAATTATTTTTGTTTTGAACCTCCATCGTTTTTAAAACAGTTTTATATACATGGGGTAATAAATCGTAATGAAGCAGGCGATTAAGACATGGTGATTAAATTGATTAAAAGCACCGTACTAAATCAGTTGGTATCACATTCGATAAGAACAAATTTCGGAAATTGTTGCATACGATTTGAAAATGAAAAAGCTTCTATTCAATTTATTATGATGGCTATTCAGCCATCTCATAAAATAAGTGACCGATTTCATGGGTTTTCATAGCTGATTAACAAAGCATTGAATTCATCTTCCAAATGAAATCTCAATGTCTTTAAGATATCTATCATACTATCCCCTACCAAGTGTCAGTCAGTGGTAAGATGAACTTCGAATAACACGAGTGATATTTTTTTTATGTAGATAAAATCATATATAAATTTTGGTCTAGAAATTGACAGCCTTTAAGATTGTTTTTACCCTATTATTACTCAAATTGATAGAGCGAATAACACATGAAACAATATTTTTATTATTAAATATTTTTCTCGCCTTTGCAGTCAAAATGGTCTTCTTAGATCATGTTATTAAAATATGAATTGTTGCAGATTTTCGCATTTTATTGTCATAGCCATGACTGCATGGTATGCAAAGTCAAGTCATAATTATTTGGTACTGTTGCTACTTTTATTAAGTAATGTTTGCACTTATATTTAAAATTTACATATTTGATTCTAAAGGGCACATAAAATAGCATTCATTACTGAGCAACATTATTTTGACAAATGTGGCAAAAGTTTAAAGTAAATTCTTTCTTACTCTCATCCTCATGTTATTTATTTATGTTGGAAACAGATATTTATCATGTCAAATGACCATCATAATAGGCATTACATGATACTTACATTTTGTTGCCATCAGTATTTAAAACATATTAATCTGATACATTCACAATTTTTAATATGTAGTTATCTCTATCTATTCTTTCGTAAATGCTTATCATTCTTACACATGTGGAATGTTAGAGGAAATTATAGCAAGTTTTCCCCTGGAACATTATTTATATCTTGACCAACTGGTATTGTTATACATGGATTATGTCGATAATGACCTGTTTCAGCTTCGAATAGAATCTGCTGAATTTTCAGTTTAGCAACCGACCGAGAATAATTGTCTGAAATAGAGCGTAACTGTACTGCGACGCTTTGGCAAAATATTTCATACTCATCTAATATACTGATATTATTAATAGAATTGGAATGCGAAGCATCTATAACACTTGAATTTGAGCTTGGCTCATTCGAATTTGTTCTGGTTACTTTCGTATTAATCACCATCGTTTCAGCAGAATGTTGTTTAAACTCGTCTTCAGATTGCTGATTAAATGATTGATATTTGGCACAAGAAACTTCAATATTTCCAATGCTTGCATCAATTTCATTCATATGAGCCTCCAACTGCGAATTGTCTAATTTTTTACAGCTGTATGATTCAATATCATTTTCCCTCGCTTCATCATCCAAATTCGAAATATTTTCCGAAATATCAAGTAAAGTATCACGTTGTATATCTACTTCATCTGGTTTTGCTTTGCACTCGTTTGATTTTACTTGACGAAACTATTAATACATAAAATCAATTACTATTATATATAAACAATTTTTTAAATACCTGACTTTTCCCTCTTGGCAAAGACACATTCTTAAGGAAGCAATTAGCGCGATGAAACCAAAACAATTTTGGGTTGTATAGCGTCCCTTCTTTTTTATGTTTAGTAAGCAACCGCAATTCTTTCGTATATGTTGTTCGGATACTTTTAACTTTTAATCTCACGTCATGCACTGTTAAAGTCGGAACATTTAATTCCTTTATTATGCGCATATACGCTTCATCACGAGCTGCTTTATCCTTATAACTTTTCAAAGCTATATTGAAAGGTATTATTATTTTTCAAAATTGCCTATTTGAATTCAATTTTACCTGGATTCCAAAGACTTTCCTGCTTTTCATATGCTTCTAAAAATTGCAAAACTCGAATGTTTCGATTATCGTTTTGCTTTATCATTTTTAATATTTTATTTGCAGTAAAACCCAATCGAGCATTTCTTAAAGCAGTCACACATGGAGGAACAATCTTGCGGTAACATGTTACAAGCCACAAGTTACCTACGATGTTTCGCATATGTGAGCATGTAGAAGGTAAAAAAATTATATCCACCGAAAATTCTATTTCATTGCTTAGGCGTATAGCACAAGTAGCTGTAATTTTGTATATAGTTCAGATTGTTCCATTAACAAAGCACCAATTAGCAATTTTTATTAAATTAAAATTTACATTGTATATATAAAAGCCAAATATAATAATTTTTTCATATATGGCTTGTTTTTTTAAACTATTCACAATATCGTCAAACAATTACATAATTGTGAATCATAAATTTATTTTCAACTTGTTTCTGTCCAGAGCAAAGAATATATTTTAAAGAAGGGAAACACCGCCCACTTCGAGCTTAACGATGAGAAATTGCTAAAGAAATCATTTTTATTATAACATTTTGGTACACATATTGAATACATGGAATCTTACTACGATTTCATCTTTTGGGGTTGCCGTGTAATATATTAGAGGTATTCAGGCAACTTATTAGTTGCTTAGTTGATTCAAAAACTTCGTATAAAGAAAAATTAGCATTAGCATTAGCAAAATGCGTAGTCCAATTAATTTGTTGTGTGCAAATGCCTTGGCAGCACTCGTATTAACAGCATAAGCGAAACATATGTTAACAGTGAAGTACTCAAATATTCGTAAATTTTAATGTCATTTAAATTTATCATACAATTCAGCATATAACTAAAATTGCAAACGTGTCATATATCAAGAAGTAGAATCAAAGAATACTTGTACAAGAACGGCAACTTAAATGTAAACAAAAAAACCAACCAATACACTCTCAAAATAATTTACTACTACCAAACCAAGCACATTGTTTTGTTGTTGCAACTCGACCCACCACGACTGAAAAGTTTCACCACCCGGAACGGAACGTTTCACCACCACGCACGGTCTTAATTTTTTTTATTACGAAAGAGCAATATAAAGAGGCCAAATTGGGTTTCGTTTAGCTATTTTGACAGGAGAAATGCGACAAAACCTGAAAAACGTAATCAAATTAAACTGAGTTATAAAAAGTAGTGAATAAGTTTCTTTGAAAAAATAATTATATATATTATAATTATCAAAGAATACCTTACAAGAACGGCAACTCCATTGTGAACTAAAATTTATTTTTTCGCACAACAACAATTTGCCGTAGAGCTCTTGAAAGTGTTAGTGAAAAGTGCACTAACACCAGCTGAAATCACTGAAATTTTTCACCTTTTCACCTTTTTCCGATGCTTCGAGTACTTTTGAGAACGGAATATTTCAAAAAGTTTACCACGAAGAGTGTAAGAAAGAGTGTAGTTTTGTTTTTTGGTTTTGATTTTTTGAGAGTGATATAAAATTTCGTTGCGCCAAATCATACAAAATTTACCGCGCAAATATTTAACAAAAAGTAGTTAAAATTGAAAGTAGTAGCATATTGTGTTATTACTGTATAAACACTAATAAATTGTGAAAATAAAGTTTAGTATTTATATAAAAATATGGGAAAAAAGTGTGATAAAGGATGTAAGGAGTTTAAATCCCTTTATAAATTCCCGGACAACAATGAGGAACGAAAGTAAACTTTGCATTTCAGTTTTACGTAAATTTGTGGCATAAGTGTTTTGCATAATTGTTTTACAGTATATGTGGAATACAGTATATGTGGAATACAGTATACGTGGAATAACAAATATGGATGTGTTAATTAAAATATTTGTAAGTAGTAATTCATGTTCGTAATGATAAAGCAATAAAATTATGAAAAACAATTTATAATAAAAACACTGATTTTTTGCAAATAACGATTCCAGATTTTTTTTAATATTATTGAAAATATTAATTTCAATGAAATTATATATAAAATTATTATATAAAAACACAAAAAATCGTTATAAAAATGGTTTTTATATTTCGTGTAGTTCTTATCCTATACCAGAAAATGAAAATTGAATATGAATCTTACTGATCATAAATGTTAAGTAATCTACAAAATAAATGTTTAAATGGATTGTATTTTCAATGGCATGTATTTATTGAAATTTAATTGTACATTAAATTTATTTAAATAAAGGCGTTAAAAATATGTATATCGTATGTAAAAAGTAAATAATTGTTTTTTAGCATAGCTATTTGTGTGAAAATTATTGAAACGTCTGCAAAGACAAAACTAACTTTGTGTTATTATTTGTAGTTAAATATGTTTATTTTTTATTGTTGATCCTTTTTATGTAACTACTCAAATATACTTGTTTTTCTTTATAATTAATTTTTATTTTTGTATTTCATTTAATTCTGATAATTATTTACCAAATTAGAACAGAATGGATGAAGCGCTTAGGAGTAGTTGGGCAAACTAAATATATGTTTGCCGGTAACAATCATTTTTCTGCCGAAATGATGTGTTCTGCACGAATTTCTAAATGCGCAATCCCGGACGTTAATTTAGATTTAAGTTATATTAGTAATTTAAATAAAAATGTAATTAACAACGAAAGTAATGTGGAAAATGAAAAGCAAAATCACCTCTCTAGCATAGGAGTTAGTAAAACCTTTGATAGGAGTTAAATTTCTGTTTGTGGAAGAGAGGTCCAAACAGACAATAGTCTTTCTGAAGCAACTCCCAGAAAAAGAAAACTTAACGAAAAATATTCAGAAATTTTAAAAAAATTAAAAAAGTTAGAGAAGGTAGTTGAAGAAAAAAATGAAATTATTAAAAGTAAAGAAGTAGAAATTAGGGAAAAAAATGAAATTTTAGAAAAAATTAAAGAAGAGAACAAAGAGTTGCTTTTAAAATGTAATACTATTGAAAGTGTTACAAGCAATTTAGATGAACAATAGCATTAGGAGTTTATTTTCTTTCACCCCTAACTTACAGACATTTACGCGTAAGTTTTAATTGGCCATCAGAACGAACCTTACGAGAGTTCGTCATAAGTTGGCCCAAGTCTCCAGGCTGCACGCATAGTAGTATTAAAGCTTTGGAGTTACGAAGTCGTGGCTTCTCATACGAACGAAGATTCGTTTCTGTATCCTGCGATGAAAGGTCACCTTCAGTATGACAGACATAATGACAAAATAGTTGGGCTTGAAGATTTTGGTGGTGAAGATCGTACTTGCAAAATTGCAAGTACTGTCTTGACTTTCATGGTACAAGGAATCGCAGGAGTAAGATGGTCTCAGCCTCTTGCATACTTTTTTGTAAATGGAAGTTGCAAGGGTGAAGTTCTGAAATCGTATGTTATTGAAGTAATTCAACAACTTCAGGGCATTAATCTTTACCCATGCCATTTCGTTTGTGATCAGGGTAGGAACAATATTAAATTAGCTAAGTTATTAGAAGTAGATGTGCATCACCCTTTTTTTAATGTCAATGATGAAAAGATATTCTTTTTTTATGATGCACCCCATTTGATAAAAAGTACCAGGAATTGTTTAGAAAATAGCAGTAATAATGTTATATTTAATAATTGTAAAGTAAGTTGGGAAGATATTGTTCATTTTTTTAATATTGATTCAAAATCAACTATTCGATGTGCGCCTCACTTGACAAATGCACATATTAGGCCCAATTCTTTTCAAAAAATGCGTGTCAGATTTGCTTTTCAAGTATTTAGCAACACAGTTGCATCAGGAATGAGAGCATTGTGTAAATCAGGTTTAATTGATTCAAGTAATACGAGTACTGTTAACACTGCTGAATTTGTTCTGTTTTTTAATAATCTTTTTGATGTATTCAATTCAAGCAGCACCAGTAGCTTAGGACTTAAAAAAGGCTTTTGAGGATCAATTGAACAATTGGATTTTCTGCAAAAAGCCGAAATTTTTCTCAAATCCATTAGATTTGAAGACAACGAAGGTAACAATATTGTTAAGAACTTCTCTTTTATTAAAGGGTGGCTCCTCAATATTAAGAGCCTTCAGCATATATGGCAATATTTAGCCTCTAAGAATTTTCAGATTTTAATGACCAGAAAGCTTTGTCAAGATGTGATAGAACATTTTTTTGGGCAAATACGACGTGGTGGAGGCAATTGTGCAGGCATCACTCCACATTTATTCACTTGCCTTTTTCAGAAGAGATGGGGATTAAGTTATTTGAATTGCATAGTAAATGGCAATACTGAGCAATTAATTGAATTTGACTGTCCTTCTACCGTAGGCCCTACCATTAATTCACTTACTCCAATTTCCCCTGATCAGAGTTTAGAAACTGTATGCAGTGATGCATTAGTGATTGACACGTTCTGGCAGGAGTCTCATATGTTTAGAGAACCCATGCACTGTTTTCTTCATTGTTTTGATTTTGATGTTGATATTGATATGGATGAACGTATATTCCTTAGCAGAAATGCATTTATTTATGTATGCGGGTGGTTATACTTTAAAATTCACAAATCACACAATTGCCAAGCTAACCTACCCTTACCAAATGTTCTTTCATATGAAAACTTTTTTACTCTTGAAAAAGAGTTTGATAACTGTAATTTGGTGCAACCTCCTAAATATTTCGTAGATTATATTCAAAAATTAGATAAAGAATTTTGCAAACACTTTAATAGCAGTTACCAAAAAGTAGGTATAGCACAATTTTTATACCAAAAATTAAAAAATATACGTCCATATGTTTGCTGTCAAAACTGCAAAACAGACAGTATTTTAACTCTTTTTATAAGGGTACGCATATATTTCCTGTTAAAATTTTGTAATAGGGTTCTGAATACACCTGACTATAGGCAAAAGCTCTTGCGTGTAACGCATTTATAGGCTTAGTTTTCCACATGATATTCAGTTGACTTTTACATATAAATTAATTTTTTAAATTAAATTTTTATTTTAATAATTTTTTTGCTTTTAGTTTATGTATATTTAAATTTGCAATTAATTTTTAAAAGTACTGTAATTATTATTCTGTTAATTTTTTTTTTGCAAAAATCTGTAAAAAATTATAACGAAGAAATAATGGTGGATATGCCTCTTGGGGAACCGGCACCTAAACTCGGTAACGCACCTTTATGCATACCTCTTGGGTGGTGTGGAAAATGCATACCAAATCTTGAACTTTGGTCGAATAAACTACATAGCTAAATAAATTAAATGTAGAAATAGGAAAATACGAGGGATGTAAAAAATTTGTTATGGTTCTTTTTTTAAATTTCCACACAATAATGATGAAAGAAAATAAAT